GCGTGCATACTAGGGGCCCCGTAAAGCTCACCGCGGCCTATGCAGACTGTGACCGTGATTTACGGGGCCTCAGTACGGCAGAGACCTACCTGGCTGAACGTCGGCTTGTTGTGCAACCTGGAGCAGCGGTCTCCATGGCGACAAGCCCCGATCTTGAAGTAAAAAGAGCAGTTGACTCTAGAGAAAAAAAAACGTTCAGGTTAAGAATTGTTACATATATTGGCCATGCATATCCGGACCTCAGAAAACCGGAGCACGCAACGCTAACGGTCCTGCCGGCAATCTCATTCATTCCCTCGCTCAAAAAACATTTTCAGAATTAAATGCATAATGGCCACCAGCTAGGCGCTTACATCGGTAGGGCAAGGTATTTGTGTAACACAAACCTTTGTGTGAAACGTTTGCGACGGATAGCGGCGAGGCACAAGAACGCTATCAGCGTCTTCGGTGCTACGTGCTAATGCTATATGCTAACGGTATATGCTACGTCTAATACTAAGCTAACACTACGTGCTACATGCTACCGGGCTGGCTAACGCGAAACAAAAGAGCCGTGCCGACCACACTAGCCTGACCGACGCCGCGCTAGAATTGCGCCATTTAACTGGTGACTGCACATCTCCTGCTTTGTCGTTCACCACCAGCGACCTGGGGCCAGATTCCGCGCACCGAGCGGCGATCCCGGCCGAGCTGGCCCACGTTTAGGTCAGTAGCTTCGCATATGTGCCGTATTCTCCCCGATCCGATTCAGCCAGCGCCAGCGACACTCATTCAGGCTAAACAGCAGCCAGCCGCCTCTCTCACACACAGACACGCCAGCTACAAAGCCTACAGCTTGTGACCCACTGACTTGGTTTTAATACACAAGGATGCATGCACTAAAGTAATTTTACTTACTTGTCTTTTTCTGTGCCGAAAATGGACGCCAAGTACTCCGCCATCTTGGTCACTTCAGGCCACACACGAGTCTGCGCTTTACGTCACTAAAGGGCGACTTCCCGCCTGTGCGCCCCCCAAGGGAAACCACACGTTGCTGCGCTCTTCTTTGTAATTCAAACGAAGGATGCCATCATCGTCATCATCACCACCACCAATACCATCTCTTCTTCTTCTTCTTCTTCTTCTTCTTATTATTATTATTATTATTATTATTATTATTATTAACCATCCAGTCGTTGTCGACTCCGGTCTTTCCGAAAGGCATATATTTGTTGTGATTACTGAGTCCACCATTGCTGTTGTCGTACCCCTTTACCTTCCTCCAGTGCTGGGTCTGTCTTTTAGTCCAGCGTCTGTCATGATATGTTGCATGTAAGTAATAGGAATGCTTTTAGAATGCATCCTTTTCTAAATCCTTTGCCAGTGTGGAGCCACTTCAGTTTTTTAGTATTCCGTCCTGGCTGTGGCTTCATTTTGGGGAGAAGGGGCTCTAATGGTCAGCTTGCAGAACAACAGCATTAAATAACATTTCCACATATTTTTGTACAGATTGAAATTAGATAGATACATGATATCCTTCTTGCGGTGGTTACCAATGTTGCCTCACACGCCTGGGACTGGGATTCCAGTCTCCCCCCTGGCTCCATGGAGTTTGCGTGTTCTCCCTATGTCATCGTGGACCTTCTTCCAGGTTCTCCGCCCGCTCACACATAGAGTCAAAAACGTGCTATAGGCAAATTACAGTTACCAAATTGTCCGTACGTGTGAATGGTATGTGTGTCCTGCGATGGGTTTGCGCCTCATCCTGTTTTGTTCCATGCTTTGCACCTGTAACTTCTGATATAGACTCCGGACCCCCGCGATCCTGATTCGTGGTCCCAGAATAGGACAGGCGTGTATAGAAAATGGAGGGATGGACATGCTTCTTAAAAGATGTTAAGTGCAAACCGTTCGTCGGGTTTAAATAAATTTTATATGGTATTAGTGAGTTCGACCAGGGTATTAAGGTCGCCTGCCCGTGTTTCTCATCGTAAGGTCGCTGGTTCCGGGTACTGTCTGGCCCTCTCAAATATATACATAACTTTGGATAAAAGCGTGTGCTAATTCAGCGAAATGTAAACAATATTAATGCAGATGTGTTGTCTAATTACAACGACCAATATAGCCATAATACAATATCGTGTGTAATCTATATTAGATCCGCAAGAGGGAGACAATAACGCGATAGAATTGCAAAACAGTACGTCATGGAAATAAATATATCGATGCGTTTTGCGTTACAGTATATCCAGTGTGGGATACCAGTGACTCATGTCGGTGCCAGAAATCATAGCGTGTGTGGGCCGACAGAAAATCAGGTGGGCCAGACCCGTAACAATTTGCTAGGTGACAAAACCATACTACAGGCACTAGAGTTTTTTTTTATCCGTTTTTAAATTATTCATAGCATCACTATGGCCAAATGAAGAAAATGAAAGAAAAATCAGTTTGGCTCTCAGCAGTACTTTTCCTTTGATTGATCTAAGCACGCACACTGTGTCACTCGCTGTCACAGGGTACTAGTGCATCACAGGGCATACACACAGTCATAGAAACACCATTCAACCTAAACTAAATCTTTGAACTGTGAGAGGAAATCCAAGAACATATGGGATGTGAAGCCAAAGTCTCAGGAAATAAGTACTAAATTAAATCCTGAATATATATTTTGAACCTGAGAGGAATGGACTTGAGACCATTTGAGAAGGAAACTATTTAACCTGCCCAAGAATTAATCTAAGGTCTACAAACAAATTTTTAATCTTTGTATTTAATAGGCCAACCCCTATTGGATGTTTGATGTTGCTGCTTTAATGTAATTTTGTAATTTCACCTACAACATTGCTGGCCAGCACAATATGAAATCCAACCTTGTTGTGGTACAGTATTATTGATGTTTGGTGTTTGGCAGAGCTTCAACAACAGACCCTCTTTATGAATGAATGTATAATGAATTACTATATATTCATTTTGTGTGTATTTTGATCACTGCTGCTAAGCTTAGTGGTAAAACTGCATTGTACATCAATTTGGATGAACATGGGGTGTTTAATCATCTGATATAAGCTGAACTGGTTATTTGTGATTTGGCCAAATATTAAAAAGAACTGGATGCATTTATACTTGCATAATTAACATTTAGTTTCCATTTTAACTATATTACAAATCTTGAAACAGGATAAAATTACGAATAGGCTGAAACAGACTGCACGTGAAACTGAAAATATGACAATTGACCTTGACAGCACGTAGCAATATTCACAATATATTATAAAAGGAACCGATGACTATTTGTTGAATGCTACATGTGCAGGGGAAGCACAAAGGTTCGTGTGAAAGGTTTCGTACGTGAAAGTGGTCATTAGATAATGAGTCGGCGTATGAAGTGGTTAGTAATTAAAGTGGTCAGCTTGTGAAATGTTTAGGACATGATAGCATCAGCCAGTGAAGCGAGAATGAGGAGAGAATGAAAGTGAGTCCTCTGTTAGACATCATCATCTTGAGCTATTATCATCAGCTTTATCAATGATGGCTACCAGTGAGAGCATCCATGACGGCTACCACTGAGAGCATCCATGACGGCTACCAGTGAGAGCATCAATGACGGCTACCAGTGAGAGCATCAATGACGGCTACCAGTGAGAGCATCAATGACGGCTACCAGTGAGCATCAATGACGGCTACCAGTGAGAGCATCAATGACGGCT